ATGACCCCGAGGAACAGAAGGTTAAGAATGTCCCAGAAGTCACAGAGCCAGGAGGGGCAGCAGAGAGACACAGACTCCAGTGTGCAGTGACTCGGAACCTCTGCGCCCAGCTCTGAACCACGCCGCCCACGGGGACCCCACGCAGGAGCTCGCTGGTGACATCTGACATCCCCAACGGCTCTGCAACACCTCTGTCCTCAGCACAGGCAGGAAAGGTCAGACTGGCCCAGCCCCATGGTCTTGGAGGAGCAGGGAGCCAGGGCGACCCCACAGTCTAGGAGGAGCGGGGGCCAGGGTGGGAGTCGGGCCTCCTGGAGGTTATAGGGGTCTCTGCACACCAATCATCCTTCTCTAATTCAATGGGCCACGAGCTACAGTCCCCGAGAGCCTGCGGCCTGACGGTGAGTGAGGCCACCCTGCTCCAAGCACAGCCTCACTCTAATTTGAAGACACAGGCTGAAAGGCCCCAAGTTCCTGCCCAAATCTCCTCCCCACCCATGAGGTGCCTTTGCTGGAAAAGATAAAATGAAGCAACGGGTGGGTTCTTCCTTCTCATACAAACACACAATGCGTTTGTAAATACCGTGCTGTCAGGGGACCAAGGCCCAACACCGCTTCCCATGTAAGAAAACCTGGCCGTCTCCATCTCTGGACCGTGTTCCATCCCAGGCAGTGCCGTTTACCGAGGATGTTCCTGATTGTCCTGATGACTTGCATTGGCTTCCCCGGTGAGGAGGGCCTCTCGGTTCAGGGCAGAGCTGGGTGGTGGGCATGGATCTGGCACCGCCTTCCCAAACGCCTCTGCTGCAGCCCCCGAGGGGTGGGAAACAGATGCTATTTAAAGGGTTGTGGCGGAGGGACTTGGGCCCACACTGGCACTCCTCCTTGGTTTGGTGAGCAGCTGTCACATGTCCTCCTGACAGAATTGCTAACATCAAGGAGCCTGGCCGCTGTACGAGAGGCCAGGAAGGGAGCTGTAGCTGAATGGGTGGAGGGAGGGAGGGAGGTGGGAGCCGCAGCTGGGTGAGTGGAGGGAGGGCGGGGGGCACGCTGGCAGTTCCTGCCAGGGCTCCACCAGGGTAGTGAAGGCTGAAGGGAAGCAGACAATGAATCCTGACCCTGGCAACGTCCCTCCCAGCACTGAGAAAGGATTTGAAGAGACGTTCATGTTTACTGCACCACCAGCAGCGGGCTGACCACTGCCCGAACCTATACGGTTCTGTGCATTTTGGATATTTCCACTTTCTGGAAAAAAGATGTCGTCAGGTCCTTGTAAAATATCTCGACGGCCTTGACGCTGTTGAGATGTTGGGAAAGGACCGTGACACGCTCAGCTGAGTTCACTGCTGTTTGTAAAATGACAGTGTTCTCCTGATTACATCGACCCTTCCAACATGAACTTCCTGGGGTGGCGGGAGCAGCGCGGCCCCCTTTCTCCCTTTCTGGTGTCTGGTGTCTGATGTGAGCTGACCTGAGACTTTACAGGAAGCAGGCCAGAAAGAAAGAGGGCCGATATCAGGCTCTGGAAGGCAGCGATGGTCAGAGCAGGCCAGGAGCCTCTGAGATGGGAAAGGGGTCCCAGAACTCACATGGCCTCCCAGCGGGCGGGGACACAGCCTGGCAGGGCATTCATGCCTCAGGTGGAGAGCTGGCCAACCTCCACCCAGCCCTTCCCTCCTCCAACACTGAGGCGATGGGACAGGCCAGGTGGGAAGGAAAGGAGGGGCAAAGAGGGCTGTGGTGTCTGGTGCCCTGGGAGGCGCATGCAGGGCTCTGTGCTGAGAAGCACGGGGGTGGGGTGGGGGGAGTTCTCAGTGCTCAGCACAGGCCAGGCACACAGTTGGTGCTTAATAAATGGAGAAAGGTCTGATGCAAAGGTATCCCAAGCTAAACTTGTTCTGACAGCTTAGCAAGACCCTGTAGGCTGGCTCAGGACTGTCCCTGCTGTGAGATTCTGCAGGTCCCCCTGAGCTGGGCTCTCTACGAGGGGGTCCCACTGCACTTCCTCCCCGCCCTTGGCCACACCCATCTTACAACGCCCTCCATGGTAGCCTGTGCTGAAGCCGACATCAATTTCGTTTTCTTTTTTTGAATCGAGTTATTGGTCTCCTGTGTGTGTGATCAAAACTGAATGAGGATCAGAAAATATCAAAACAAACCAACCACGGCTGGCCTAGATCAATGGCGGGAACTGGGGACATGTCACTTAGCACACTGGGAGCTGGAGGCTGTGCGGAGCGTGTGGCTGGGAATGGTCATGGCCGAGCGTGCCCTGAGCAGTCCCCTGGAGGCTCCTCTGCCAGCCCCAGCACTCATTGTCCCTACTTCCCTGCCAGGCTCCCTCCTCCCGGGGCTGCTTCTCCCCACACTCTACCCGCCACCAGAGCCTCTTTTCCTGGAGGGCGATTTAGTCATGAAGCAGAAAATAGATGTCTAATTATCGAAAGCATCCATCAGCACCATGACAGCTTTGCAAACCCACACCCTCGCTGCGCTGTGCAAAGCAAACAGCCAGGGCTTCCGGGAGCCCCAGATCCTTGGTACCCAGAAAATGAAAACTTGACTAGGCTCTCTATGACAGAGGCCAAGAGGCACATACCTACAGCGTTAGACACAGACAGAGCACTCCCGTCCTGGAGGGGGCCACTGCAGCAGCCAGGCGACTGCTTCCTGCTCACAGATCTCAGCGTGGACAGCGTGGGTTTGTGGGGTGGTGTTCCTGCTCTGCACAGTGGGGTGGCCCAGACTTCAGGCAGGTGGGAAGGGCACTTGAAGGGGGAGGGTGGTAAAAGGGGACTCAGCCTGGAGTGTGTGTGCTGCAGACAGGCACTCCACACTCCTGAGACCCTTCTGCTCCTGGGGCTGAGAAAACTGTCTTGTCATTGACACTGAGATGCTGATGACCATGCCACTGGAGGGTTCCAGGGAGGACAAGCCAGGAAGGGCATGCAGGTGGCTGCACTAAGGCCCCATCCTTCTATTAAGGGAGTTAATGCATGAAGAGAGAGTACTTCGGTCAGCGCCTGCGCACGGGACCTGCTTGCTTTCTTTTGTTTTGTTTTTTGAAACGGAGTCTCGTTTTGCCACCCAGGCTGGAGTGCAGTGGTGTGATCTCGACTCACTGCAACCTCTGCCTCCCGGGTTTAAGTGATTCTCATGCCTCAGCCTCCTGAGTAGCTGGGATTACCGGCATCTACCACCATACCTGGCTAACTTTGGTATTTTTAGTAGAGACAGGGTTTCATCATGTTGGCCAGGCTGGTGTCGAACTCCTGACCTCAGGTGATCCAGTTACTTCAGCCTCCCAAAGCTGGGATTACAGATGTGAGCCAGCACGCCCGGCCCTGCTTTCTACGTGCTGGGATTACAGGTGTGAGCCATGGCACCCAGCCCTGCTTTCTAAGTGCCTGCTGGCATCACCTGGTTTGCACGTCTGCATTCGGATCATTATCACTAACATCTGTAGCAAGAGCAAGTTCCTAACTCAACGTAAGTGGGGTTTTCCAGGTGGGGTATGGACTAAAAGAGTGGTCAGAGCCTTCACAGACAATTATAATGTTAGAAAACTTCCAAGCATCAGCTGTCACGATTCAGAAAATAGGACAGACAAATCTTCTCCCCTACAAGCACCCAACCCCAGTAGTGTCCCAGCTCTGCAGTCAGGCCAGCCCCTCCAGGTGGGGATGGGGGCTGCTCAGCAGTGGTGAAAGTGGGAAGCTCCCTCCCATGGGAGGCCGGGGGATCAAGACAAATGCACCAGGCTCCAGCCTGCCAGGCCTTGCCCCTCCCCACCTGTCTTCCTAGAAGGAGGGAGTGTGCCAGAGGCAGTGCCCCCCATGTTTTAAATATGAGATTGTGTCGAAATGGTGGAAATGGTGAAGGAGGGAGGCAAAGAGATCAGAAATCCGTGGGGGGAGAGCTGGGTGCATCCCTTCCATCAAACCCGCTCCAGATAAAGCCTAGAGGATCTCACATCACATTTCAAAGGCCCTTTCTCAGTCAGCCCAGGGCAGAGCTGGGTTGTTTGTTTTTAAGTGTTTATTTTCTAAGCGTCCTGCCAACCTCTGAAGAAAAGGAGGCTGGGTGAGCCACGCCCCTAACCACGGGGCTGCCCATTCTGGCAGCCAGAGGTGGGTTAGCAGATCACCAAGGGACAGCAAAGCCCAGACAGCTTCCCTCCTCCAGCGGGAGCCTTTAGAGGGTGCTCACTTTGGAGGGAGGAGGTACACCCATGCTGCCAGTGTCCACGGCCGGGTCTGGGGTCCTGGGGCCGAGTGGGGCTGGGCAGCCACCCTCACCTTCCCATTGTTCAAAGGGGGTCGAACAGTAAAACCCAACCCCCCAGATAAAGGCAAATATGGTGCTTGTTTCTCTCTCTTCTGAGGTTTCACCCAGGGGGGAAAAGCCTGGGAAAAAAGAACATGGCCTCTTTCCTAAATCAAAAGGAACATGAGTCTCTATCAGCCATGAAAGGAATGGCAAATGAAATACAAATGAGACGTCATTAAAACAAGAAAGGCCTAATGGATTCTCTTCCTGAAGCAGATGCAAGGACCAGAAAAGTCAGGGCTGGGTTTCAGCTCCAGAGAAACGGACTCGGGGCACCAGTCCAGCCCACTGGAGCCAGGGAGGGGGCCTTGAAGGGATCAGCGACCAAATCATGGACTACCATCATCCTCAGGTCACTCTCCAGTCCATGATCTACGGCTCTGGATCTGCACAGAGCCCTGGGTGCCTCCCAAAAGTCTTCTGGGAACAAACACCCCCAGGCACCAAGCTGCCCAGTCCACAGACCCTGGAGGGTGGGCGTGGCTGGTACCCATGCCCAGGGCCCACCAGGTATCCGAGCGTGCCCTTGACCAAATGACCCCCTGTGGGATAAGGGGACACTCACCCGGTTATCGCCTTCGGGGGCAAGAGGGTCTGTCATCCAGGATCCAAACCTCGAGCCGGAGGTCTTGACTGTCACGGGATCACTGATGCCCGTCAACTTCCCGCAAGCTGGAAAAGAGCACGCAGGTCAGGAGAGGGAGGGCAGGGGCCCTGGCCAGCAGTGGCCACCCAGACCTCGACCGCCCAGAGCACACCTTCCTCCTCTTGCCCTCTGGGTCTGGGGTGCTATGGAAAGCTGCTCACACCCTTGTTTTCACAGACTATACCCCTAGCCTTGGAGAAGCCACCTCCTCCCCAAAACAGAGCAGCTGTGGCCAGGATGGCAGGAAAGAGCCATGGGCGGGCAGGCAGCCGCCCTCCTGGGCTTCACCCCTCCTCAGAGAGCCTGCTGGACCCATGGCCTGGGGGTGGGGGTGCCAGAGCAGCACCTCTAGGAGAGGGGATCAGCTTTGCTAAGACTCAGTTTTCTCCTCTTAGAAATAGGACTAACAGCAGCTCCACCCCCAAGGGCATTAGAGGTCATACCCTGGCACAGCCCAGCCTGTTTGGGGCAGTTAGACCTAGCGTGAGACACTCCACCCAGGCAGGCCCTGTCCCACGACAGAGCAGCAATGCCACCAGTTGCCCCAGAACTGACCAGGACCAAGGCCATCGCCACCTTCCCACGGCGAGGGCCAGGTGCTTCTGTCTGTGGGAGGAGCCCCGAATGGAGTGCCGGGATTCCGAGTACCAGGGTGGATGGGACCCTGGATGTGACCTCAACAGCCCTCACCTCCTGCCTCACAGAAGGCTGTGGAGGTGACGAGGGACACACCCGGGCCACCCGGTCATTCGGGCTGAGGCTGGAGCCCCCTACACCCCCCTGGGCTCAGGGCGGCTTGCACACCCACTGCTTTGGAACTCCCCCTACCCGGAACCTGGCATGTCTGCACGGCCACGCAGCTCTTCCAGAATGCACGCGCCTCGGACACCCTCTGAAGGGCCAAATGCTCCTCATTCTAACAGAGACCCTGGATGGGAAGTAGGTGGCTTCCTTGCGGAGGGCAGAGGAAGGGCCCCTCCATCACAAGGCCCTGCACCCTGTCCTTCCCAGCCAAGCCTGCCGGTGACTTCCTAGGTCTGCGTGGCACCCTCGGTGGAGTTACATGGGCACATGTACATGGTGGTCCGCAGAATTCAGAGGCCATCCACGTGTGTGGGGAAGACTGTGGGTGAGTGTGCCTGGACCTCGGCTCTGCCAGGATAATCCCATAGGCAAGCAGGGCGGGGCAGGCTCCAGGCTGGCCCCCAGGAGGACGAGGCCCAGCCACTCCCATGCTCAGCGCAGGTCTCGGATGAGACCTCCCAGTCTCTCCCATGCTGAAGTGGCGAATGTGCCTGCTAGTGGCATCACACAAGACCAGAAAGATGAACCCTCCAGCCTCACATGGTGTGGAGGCATCTCTGCTTTTGTGGGTTTGCAGGAGAGTGTGCATTCGGGCAACAGAGGCTTTCTGAGGGATGAAGACCCCACTGCCCACAGAATAAGACTGGGTTTGCCCCCAAATTCCCATCGAGTCAGGCTGCACTGCTCCAAGGCCTGGCAGCCTGGGGAAAGCAATGTCACAGCCCTCTGCCTCCCCTCCTCCTCCATGTTTATTCCCCCGTCCCCACTTTCAGGAGGAACTATGAGCTTTCCCATGTCTACACTGTCCCCTCATGGGGGGAGGCTTCCCGGCAGTGGGGCTGGGTGAGAGGCTGCCAGGGTCTGCTCAGTCACGGTCCACACAGGCTCTGGGCCAGGACCATGCTCCCCATCTGTGGGAGGAGAAGAGGCAGAGAAAAGGGATGGAGAGGAGATGGCCATGGCTGACCTGCGTCTACAGGAATGAGATGGGGGCTCTGGGAAGTCTCACGAGAGGCTCCCCGGCCAGGAGACCCGGCCCAGCTTTTTACCCCTGTGCAAATCGGGGGTGGGGATGGGGGGCTCAGGGCAGTTTCACGAAGGCTCCTGTGCCTGGAGGAGCAGGAGGTGGAGGCGGGAGCCGTGGCTGGGCTCACCTCTCACCCTCTGGCTGCTTCGGATCCCTGGGCTTTGCGGGAGACAGTAGCTCCCTCAGCACTGGGCGCCGGAAGAAGCCCTTCACAGCCCCTCTCCAGCCCTCCCTGCTGTCTCCTAAGACAGCGTTGTGGCCCTGGGAATGCCCCGTGAGGGCTCCCCACACCGTGGTTCTGATAGTTGTCCTGAAGGAGAAGGCTAGACGGGTGGTGGCCCCACGCTGGGCTGTCGCTCAGGCTCTGACCACTTCACCCTCCTCAGTCAACACGGGGTTTTCTGTGACGCTGACGCACTCGAATGCCCAGTCCCATATCCGCAGCAGGCTGCTCCTGGCTGGATGACCTACCGGGAGACCAGGTGTCTGCCCTCCATCTCGCAGGCAGCTGGCAGAGGCCAGAGATGGCAGGTCAGCACCAGGCTCCGCTCCGCCACCTTGCCCGAGCCCTGCCCTGCTGGCCCACGCAGCTTTGTTCCAGCTGTCCCTCCACCTGCATGCCAGCCCCAGCCCCGCCTCCCCACCCATCTTCAATGGCTTGCCCCACTGATGCCTCTGCCTTAAAGATGTGTCCCTCCTTCACTCCACCCTGCCTGGCCTGCCTGGCCTTCGTGGAGCCAGAGCCACCCTCCCACCATACATCTCCTGGGGCTGCCAAGGAATGTCTGTGTCTTACTGCCCAAGGGAAGAAGTTTCCTGTACTCACCCTGTTTCCCCCAAAACAGCCTGGGGATTTGTACAGAATGAATGAATGAATGAATGAATGAATGAATCGCTCATTGCTCAGAAAAGCCTCCTAAGTCTAAGGCTTCACTCTGCACCTCAGTGGCAGGAATAGTTGGCCGGGGGAGGGTGACTCTTCCCTGGGGGATGCTCTGTTCTCCCTCTCCTTATCTAGAGATGGGGTAATAACAACAGTGCCCCCTTGGAAGGCTGCTGTGAGAATTAGGGCAGGGACCACCAGAGAGCTTCCGGGACAGCACCTGCCACAGAGTCAGTGCCCCACACAGGTCAGGAGGCATCATAGAGCTTCAGACTAAGGACGTGCAGAAAAGGTGAGTACAGGTCACATGGTCTTCACCTGTCCCACTTCATCCCGCCCACCCTGGACCTCGAAGGTCTGCTCTCCAGGGGATGGCTCTGCCCCAGGTTCACCCTGCCTGGGCCGGGGCTCCCTCCTCCCTCTCACACTGGCTCAGGGCTGAGTATCACCCTCTCCAGCTCCCTCTTTTAAAGGCAAAAGTGACCCCTTGAAATGAGCCTTAAAATCCTGGCTTAGTGAGGTCAGGGAGGGGCGGGGCTGGATCTGCACCCAGCTCTTCCAACTGCTGGCTGCAGGCACAGCTCCCAGGGCCCCTGGGGCTGGAGGCCACCTGCCCTCCTTGAGTCAGGGAGTTATTTTTGGTTCTCCATCCAGATCGCTTCTGCCAAGACCTCAGGAACTGACAGAATCTAAAAAAGCCCATGGCAGAGCCTCAGCGGAATCTTGGCACATCCAGTCCAGGAAAGCGCCCCTCTCTAGTCACGAGCACTTAGGATGCACTCACAAGGAGGGGAGAAGAAGGGAGAGGCAGGAGAGGGCTGACCAGGCTTCCTGTGCCACTGGAGGCTCAGAAAATGGCCTGAATGGGCTCCATCTCCCAGGAAGGCCTGGGCAGGGAGGGCCAGCATGCTCAGCTGGAGGGACTGGACCCTGAGGGCCCTGGATGGGCTCAGAAGGCAGGGCGCTGTTATAGGCTGGGAGCCTGGACAAGCCGATGCCCCTGCGGATGAGACAATCTGCCTCTTGCTATTCCCAGAAGGAAGCCACTTCTGAGCAGCAGCCTGAACGATCTCAGAACAGGCTCAGGGAGAAGCCTACCAAGGACCTCAGGTCGGAGACGGAGGGTTTTCAGGCAACCTGGAGACCCCGGCCATGAGGCTGAGTGCCTGAAGCAGGCTGACCGGGTTCCTGGCCTGCCGCCCGTCCTCTCAGCCTATCCTCCTTGGTCCCAGCTTTTATCGCCTGCAATCCAGGAAGACAAGCTGGAAACCAAGCACCATGTCCTAACCACGTCTGCAAAGCTGGGAACCTGGACAAACCAATGTCCAAGATGCAGATGAAGGAAGTTGTGGACCATGCAGCATCCCCGCCAGGTCTCGAGATCAGACCCAGGGCCTGGGGTGGGACGGCCACTGAGAAAAGGGTCACGGCAGACCCTCCTCCTCTCACAGCAGGGAAGGGCGGGCCTCCAGGAGACTCTCAGGGCCTGTCATCTGGAGAATTTCCTGGGAGGGGCCCTGGTCGCCTGGACTCCACTCAGTCCGGGCTTTTGACCACACTTTAGATTTCGGCTTACTTCCTCCCCGTCATTCTAGCGGGTTTTCCTTCAGAATCCACTGGCAAGGGCTTAACTCTCCATCTTTGAACGCACCATGTGTGCTGGCGACAGTGGCTGTCTAGCTCCATTCAGGGCCCAGGGCAGGGGAAGACAACTGCTCTCTCTGCCTGGCTGACCCTTTCTTACATCTCAGGGTCAGGGAACAAGTGGTAGGCTTCAGATTCACCTCCCCCAGGACAGAGTATAGGGTATGATGCCAGAGCCAAGCGCTATGTCCTGACCATGAGCTGAGCTGGGACAGGGGCCTGCAGCTGGACTTGCGTCAACCTAGATGCCCAGGTAGGCCCAGCTCCCGGCTGCTGTCAGGGGAATCTGAAGCCAGAGCTGATGGGCTTTGATAAGCTGTGTTCAACGGAACAAAGAGACCCCGATTGACCCTAAAGCCCAGGCTGTCTGTGCTTATGGGTGTCTGAGGGCTTCCTTCTCACCCTTTGAGGGGGAAAAAAAAGAAACAAAAGAAGGCTTTAGCAGCAGACTTCCAGAATGGTATATCTGGGAGGAGCACTTAAAATCAGCTGCCCCCCTTATTTATAGAGAGGACCACAGAGGCCTGAGAGCAATAGGCACAGGACACGGCCCGAGGGGTCTATGGGTAGAGTGACACCCTGCATGGACCCTCGCGCTTCTGGCTTTGCTCAGCTTTGCTGCTAGGGCGTCCGACTCTGCAGGCTCCCCTGGACAGGGAGCCCCACACCCAGAGGATAAAGCCAGGGGCATGGGCAACTCTGCCTCTCCCCTTACCTGGCAACAAGTCTTGCTCCAGGGGAAGTGAAAAACTGCCTCCCTTCCAGAGGATGCCTGAGAGGAGAGGTTCAGATTCAAGTTTCCAGCTGGGCCATTGGGAAAATCATATAACGCATTAATGTAATGCATTAAAAGAATCGGAAACAGAAAGCTGACGGAGCCCCAGTCCTTGTTTTCTGTGTTTCTGAATAAGTTCTGGGGTCAGGAATTATCACAGCAACAGTGACTAGAGGAAGGGAGCAGCAAGGAGAGAACCGATCAGGAAGACTTTGGGAAAGCCTCTCCCCCAGCCTTTCCCCAGGAAGGGAGCCTGGACCCTATTCACTGCAGTCAGGCCTCACAGTGCCAGGTGCAGCAGGCACACCAAGAAACCACAGGGTCCAGGACAGGGGAGGAAACTGCCCACTGCTGGATGCCATGTCTCTCAGAAGCCCTGCCCACCTGGGACGTGCCCACTGCTGGATGCCATGTCTCTCAGAAGCCCTGCCCACCCGGGACAGCCAGCAGTGTGTGCTGGCTCCACCGTGCAGAAGGCCGGTCTCCTCGGCAACCTCCCAGTAAGGAAACAGGCTGCCAGGACCATCCTGAGATGGGTGCCTATTTGCAAGGCTAAAATCAAGCTAAATTAAGCAGCTGCAGGATATTAATTTGGTGCTTAAGTTACTGAGCTTGAACGGAAGCCTGGAGAGGGAGGAGGAAGATCAGCAGCTGCTAAATCTTTCTATCTGTGTGTCTATCAATCAATCGATCAGTCATTTATCTATCTACCTATCCAGTTATCAGCCAGCTGTCATCACCTCTCTATCTATCTAGCTACCTGCCTACCAGTACCTCCTCTGCCGGGCCCAGTGCTGAGCTCAGGATCTGAATGACTGCCACGAATTATCATTCCATGAATTACCCCAGCGTCCAGGGACTCCCTGCACCATTTTACAGATGAGGAGGCAGCTGAAACTCGTGAGGGTAAATGCCTTGGGGGAGTCACACAGCTATCGAGTGGCGCTTACTATCTTACAAAGCTGCCTCCTCTAACGCTGTGGCGTCAAGATTAGCCGGTGCCGGCTACAGGCAGATACCAGGGCCCCACCTGCAGACGCTCTGATTCAGCAGCTCTGCCTATGTGTCACAGACCTTCCAAAGAAAGAATTCAACGCAGAGGTGAAAGCAGGCAGCTGTACTCCAAGGGTGGGAAAAAGAGGGCCCCTGGAGTCCTGTTAACCATCTCTCTTTCCTCCCAAATCAAGGTGTTAGCAACCCAAGGGCAGCCATGTGATCTCCTGCACAAGACCCAAGACCATAAGCTGCAAGGTAGACTCACCCAGCTACTAAAAATAGGCCAGGCACAGATGGAAGGCCAGCTCGTCCGGGAGGGGTGGTGTCTCTCGGAAAGGCCCTTGGCTTCTCACCATTTGCAACTTTTTACTCCAAATCCCCACTTTGCTCCCTTGATTCCTCCATTGGAAAATGTGGAGGTTTTCTCTGCATTTCTCCATGATGTTCCCTGTCTATACCAGGGAGGAAAGACGCTGCTCATGCAGAAATATGTAACAACAACAACAACAAGACCCTGCCGCTGGGTCCGTCGGAGGCCAAGGGAGACCCCTCAGCGGGAGCGTCTGGAGGGCCTGGAGAGAGCAGCAACCGTGAGGTCACTCAGTGTCACCACGGGTAGCAGCCCAAAGATAGTACCCAATGGAAACAGTCACATCGCCCCATGACCGGTAGTACAGCTCTATCAGCATCAACACTCACACCAATGCCTAGAAAGCCAAGCGGTCACACCCAGTCCTAGAAAGTCAAATTGGGAAGCCATGGTAGAGGCCATCTGGCCTAAACCCCACTCCTGGGACCATCTGAGGTCACCCAGCCATGGTCACACCAGGGCTGGGCACCTTGGAGCACGGAGCTGAAGAATGCAGTTAGTGACCGCCATGGGGCATAGCCAGCATGCACACACCAAAACAGACCAGTTCTACCACTTCTGGCATGTCTCACTGTCTCTGCTTTGGAACTGGGGAACTTAAAGCTTTGTGCATTCACTGAGGACACCTAGAACGGCATTTAAAAATCACCTAAAGTGAAATCTGGGAAACAAAAGGGTTTGGTTCTTACCTTTCCCCTTGAATATTGTTTCACCTGACTAACACCACCAGAGATTTTAAAAAGTGTTCTTTTTGGATGTTTTAGGTTTATAATAAGGCACTAGGAGTGGGTGCGGGGAAGGGAGCGGAGAAATAAAAGGGTAACCAAGTTAAGAACATCGGATAAAGCCTGAGATAAACTCCATCAGGCAGAAATCACCCTGAGTTACCCCAAAAAGTAGGTAGTATGAAAACCACTACCTTTGTGGTATCAAAAAACAGCTGGTAAGGAGGGCCGGCTAATATTTCTTAAGAAAAACTAAAAGTGAAATTGGGATTTGAAATGTGCTATTTAAAAGTAGGCTCAGAGACTCATGTATTAAGATTTCTCCTAGTAATTAACTGGAAAGTTGATAAGGTGAATGGATAATCAGTCGGAAATAAGAATCCAAACAGGTCATCCCACACTGGGGGTCTTTCTTAGGAGACACACCAAGGAAGGGGCTTATTCGCTCAGAGGCTCCTCCCCTTCCAGGCTGTGTGTATGGGGGCTCCCTCCTGTGCTGTGAATGGCAGCTCTACTGTGATGCAATTAAATTTTGTTCCCTTTATTATTCAAATTATGCATGATTCAATATTTCAGGAGCTCCACCAGCCTCGTTCTCAGTCCAGAGGAATCTGAGATGTGTATTTCCATCCCTATTAAACTGGTGTTTTAAACACACACACACACACACACACACACACACACACACACACGATCCGCCAGATGGTATGCTATTTCTTTCCAGATGTGCGGCTCAGTGGGGTCTGTGGCCTCTGCACGAGACGTGGCTCTGAACGGTGCCCTAGGCCTGCGCTCCTCCTCTGCTGTCTCTCAAGGTAGCCCTGGCCAGGAGCCCTAATGCAGCCAAAGCCTCGCGAAGCCAGGCTGGCGCTGTCCACTTCAGCACCACTCCCTAAGCCTGCGCGTGTGCCGGAAGGTGGGCAATGCAGCGCCACGTCCCGCAGGGTACTGGGCCTACCTAGTTTTTGCATGCATGCACGGAGCCTTTCTTCAAGATTGGACACTCTGCTCTGAAGTTCATCGTAGTCATAGGCGCCAATTTCCTCTTGCAGCTCGTTAAGCACTGACGTCAGATTCTGGACCTCCTCTTTAAACTGCAATACCAATTTGGCATCGGCCTTGTACTCTTCCAACACAGGTATCAAAGGCCTAAGTTCATCCATTTTCGCTTTTATTGCCTGCAAGGTTAAAATAAGCTGGTTCAGTGCGATGCATGCAAGAACTCTCACACCCTGCCTTGGCCTGGCTTCTCCCTAGGTGAGGGAAAGTGTGTATGTTCCCACTTTATTTACAGGCTTATTTATTCTGGTCCAAATGAGTTAGAAGAGCGTATTAAACAGTCCTCAGAACACCAACATATTTGGGAAAGGTCTTTATTGTCAGTTTAGAATGCAACATCTTAAGGTTACATGCTTTGAGTCACATACACGAAGTTTTTTTTTTCTTTCTTTTTCAAAAAACGCATTGACAAGGGTTCAAACTATTCATGAAATGCAGCTACAGTCGCATGCAAAGGAGGATCCTGGTTGTATTCAAGGTTCCTTAGTGAAATGGTGCTAAGTGTTGGAAAATGATAGTAAAAATGCATGGTGCAAAAGGCTCTCTGGCTCTCTTTCATGGTTACATAGGAGTGGACTGCCTCTTCAGTCACTGCAGCATTGAAAAAACTCTTTTAAGTTAGCCCTGCAAGTAAGAAAATGAAATACCGTTGAAGAACTAGCTCACTAGCCTGCCTGAGACAGACAACCATTAGGAAACACGTATGCACACGGTCACTTGGAGAAATCCCACTGTCACACTCAAGCCAGTCAAAGCAAACTGCTGTAAGAGTTACTGAGATTCCCTCATCACAGTTTCTGTTGGAATTTTTTAAATGCAGTTTAGCACAGTCAAGGCAAGCGCTTTTCTTCCCCCAGAGCCACAGCGCCCCAAAATTGGAAACTCAGAGAGATGCGTGTGTCAACAACATTTGCCAGGACGAGCTAACTCCAAGCTGCTGAAGACACCCCGCTCTGAAGTAGTCTGTGGCCATGGAGAAGGGAATGCCATCTGAGACATAAATGTGTTTTGGTCAGACAGGTCAACATCTCTCTCTCTCCAGAGTAGTTCACGGTGACCAGCCAGATGCAAGGACAAAATGTCCACCTGCCTCTGACGAGTGCCATGGCTCATTTCACCTCAATGGGATCAGGCCCACTACTATTTTATTTAGGATACAGATTTATAACTTCATTAGCTTGCCATTTCATCTATTTAATGTATTGTTTTTAAACGAGAATGAGTTCTTGCCTCATGCAGGGTCACATCAAGGGAAAACATTAGCACAAAAAGGACGGGAAGACAGAGACAGAGTGTGTGGGCAGTTTCCAGCCGGCGAGGCCGTGAATTCCGCCTGTTCATTTACATCTGGGCCGGGTTTCTAATTAAAATGCATGTATACCTTAATTAAGGTGGCATATCATGTTTCCATCGAGTCTTACTGAGATGGAGTCAACTGTGGGCAGAGCTCTAGCTGGCTGCACATCTGTATATATGATTTTAGGTCACACAAACGCCAGTTTTCATGTCCAGAGTCACCAGGAGAAGCAGAACACTTCCCGCCAGGTGAAAAGGAGGTTGGTGTCTCTCTCCTGCATCTATGGCATGCCTTCTCCTGGCTAGAATAGGTCAGATGTGAAAAACTGCCCTGAGACATTCCTGCTCCAAAATGGCTCTCATCAATTAAGCTAATCCTCGCCTAATTCGATTTACCTGAAGCAGCTGTGGACTCATGGTGTCCCTGCCCAGCTAATAATGAACTTTGCTCGGGCAGCAAGGAAGGGATCTCAGACCCTGGCTTCCCAACCACACTGACGGGGGCCTGGGGGCGAGTGTGTGCTGCCCCGCCAAGGTGGCTTCTGCAGACCAGGGTCAGGTGGTGGCCTCCCTACTGCCAAGGGCAACAGTCCTTTCAAGGCACAGAGTAAACTTTGCTGTGCTTCTCCCTGCCCCAAATGACCATTTCTGTAGGGAAAGGGAAAGCACACCCAGCCTCAGAGGAAGAGAAGAAGGAGAGGAAGGAGGAGGGGGAGGAGGAGGAGAGGGAGAAGGGGGAAAAGGAAGGAAGGAGGAGGAGGAAAGGGGAGGAGGGGGAAGGAGGAGAGGGGGATGGGAATGAGGAGATGAAAGAAGAGGAAGAAAAGGAGGGGGAGGAGGAGGCTGAGGGGAGAGAAGGAAGGGAGAAGGGGAAGAAGGGGGGAAGAGAAGAAGGAGAAGGGAAGGGGGGAGGAGAAGGGAGGAGAGGGTGAGGGGAATGAGGAGAAAAGGGAGGAAGAGGAGAGGGGGAGAAGGGAGGAGAGGGGACAAGGGAGAAGAGGAGAGGGGAGGAAGAAGAGAAGAGAAGGAAGAGGAGGAAGAGGGGGAGAAGGAGGAAGAAGGGGAAGAGGAGGAGGAGAGGAAGGAGGGGAGAGGGGGAGGAGGAAAGGAGAAAAGAGGGTGAGGGGAAAAGGAGGAGAAAGGGGAGGGGGAGGAAAAAGGGAAGGAAGAAGAGAGGGGAAGGGGAAAGGGGAGAAGGGGGAGGAGAGGGGACGGAGAAGAGGAGGATGAGAAGGGGAGGAGGAGAAGAGGAGAGGGGGAGTGGGGGGAGAGAGGAGGGGGAGGAAGAGACCAGAAGGAGGAGGAAAGGGAGGAGGAGGAGGAAGAGGAGAAGAGAAGGGAGGGGAGAGGGAAAGGAGGAGGAAGAGAAGGAAGATGAGGAAGGAGTAAAAAGAGAAGGAGGAAGGACGAGAAAGAGAAGGAGAGGAGGAATGGGAAGGAGGAGGAGGAGAGGAGGGAGGGGAAGGAGGAGGAGGAGAGGAGGGAGGGGAAGGAGGAAGAGGAGGGGAGGGAGGGAAAGGAGGAGGAGGAGAGGGGGAGGGGAAGGAGGAGGAGGAGGAAGAGGAGGAGAAGGGAGGGGAAGGAGAAGGCAGAGGAGGAGGAGAAGGAAGAGGAGAAGGAGAGAAGGGAGGGGAAGGAGGAGCTAGAGGAAGAGGAGGAGGAGGGAGGGAAAGGGAGGAGCACACATACCTTGAACTGCCTGGCCAGGTGTTGCTTATGACTCTCCTCCACCTGTTTGAACTTGGACTCCAGTCCTTTCATTTGGTTCTCCATCTTCTCCACGTACTGCAAGTCTCTCTGGGTCCTCCTGTCCAAGACCTCTATGGATTGAGACATGTTCTGCACCTGTCAAAAGGGCAGCAGGTTCAGCGAAAGCTGCAGTAGGTGCCAGACAATCTTCTCTGCCTGCTCGCACTGACGCTGCCCTTTCCCACACAGCTGGCACACAGGGACCAGAAGGGGCCCATGCATTATTCACGAGGCAATCGCCAGTACCGGGGACTGTGAGGACCCAGAACTCCCCAAACACAGCAAACGGATTGGGTAAACATTTCCTCTGCCAACGGGTTCTTATCAACAGGGATGCGAATGAGGGGTTCAGGAAACTCAAGTTCCTCCCTGGCTGTTGCCCCAGGCACAGGACTGGGCGAGTTCTCTGGAGCTCTCTTTTTTTAGTGGTGGGCGAAGCCTGTTTCTATTCTCTTTATGTTGCAGGACCGAATCAGTTAGGCAAGCATAAATACCGACAGAGAGGAAGGGCTTGCTCAGGCTGCCCCGCCCCAGATATAAATTCTCCTTCCTCCTAAATCTCATTGAGTGCCTTGCTGATGAGGTTGATTACTTAAGTGCAGAGTGAAGGAACGAGGGAGCCGCTCTCCCTGACTCTGCATCAAGCTTTTCCCCCCATCTCCTGCGCCATCCATCACAGCCCACAGTATCACAGGTAGATGACTGCTCTGCAAACATGTACATTCTGAGCATAGAGTCAGGAATCAATCACCCAGCAAATGAAGAATAGCTGTTTTACATCTTTACAGGCAGATCTGAATTGAGTCTAGCCTCAAGATGGAACTTTAATATTCAACAGGATTCCAGGGAGCTTAAAAGAAAAACAGTTTCAGTGCAGCCACCTGCCAGTGCATTTTATTTGCAGGGAACTGGCTTGTGCTTCTGTGCAAATGCATTCGGGGCTGCGGGGAGGTGGAAGGAACCAGAGGATTGCCGCAGTGGCGTCTGGGCCATTTTCTCAGAATCTAATGCAATTACTAGGGAAGAAGTTACCTCCATGACGGCAAATCTTCACTCCTGATTTTTTTTTTTTTTTTTTTGCTAAATTTGAAAATACTCTCCCTTCTAGGAAAAAAACCATTTGGGGACGAGGCTTAGCTTTGCCTGGTCAGTGTGAAAAGAGGACAGTTTCTACTTCTTACTATACGTCCTCCACCAGGGCAAATACAGTGAAGTAAAATACAAAAGAGCAAGCCAAGCCTCCTCAGTCGGGGGAAAACCACTACTGTCAATCTCAGCACCCAGAAGTGCAAGGGCTTTCACATCCCGTTATTAGAAAGTAACACAAACCCATCCCGCAATTTCAAGTTCGTAAAGCACACAGTGGCACTGTAGATCCCTCTCACCCCTTCTCCTCTCTGGGAAATGGGAGCATTCTTCTTCCACCACCTGCCTGATTCCCTTGCTCCTCTTGCTCTGTCACTTTCAATAGCTATAGCACCTCTTTCAAGAAAAGATACAAAGTTTCATTTTATCATCCTTCAAGGCCCAGCCCAAATGCCACCTCCTCCAGGGAGGCTTCCCTGATGAACTGAGTTAAAACTATTTGGAAACAACGTCATCTTGTTGGCACAATGTCTGCCCAGGAGTGAGCCATGAAGCTGCCCCCCGACCCCCCACAGCCTGTGGACAGGACACTCAGGGAGGGAGTGACACTGGGTCTCATGCACATCTGTAACCCCTGCACGAAGTCCAGTAAATCTAGTGCACTAGAGTGGCCCCCGTGGCCACACGGCTGAACAATACAAATGACAGTGCCAGCGCAGACCCCTCTCCCCATTCCCCTCCTGGCAGGATCCCCAGAAGTGAAGGCCCACAAGTGCCAGGAGGAGCTGCTGAGCTCGGGCTGGCCTGGGTCAGGAGACCACACACAGCACCACAGGCTTTTCCATCCCCAGAGAAGCCATGCTTTTAACAGATTTCAAAGATCAGACTTCAGATCTGAAAAATTTTAAAGATACCAAGCTATTCCGCTGCCTTGAAACAAAACAGTTACTCTCCTATAGTTCTTCTAACCGTGACTGCATTTTCCTTTCTGGCCGCTGACAAGGCCCAGGCACACGGTTCGCCTCCAGGGTTGCAATCACAGGCCCATCTCCCCGCCCTGGGGAGGCCCCTCCTCCCGGCACAGCCCTTCCTCTGAGCACCTTCATTTTCCTGCCTGCAGGACGTCACTGAGAAGCCAACTGGCACGGTCAGTGTCACAGATACAGGATGACACAGTCTACCCCATGCCCCACGCAGGTCGGCAGCCAGCATTAAGAAGCGGGAGGGGGGCCAGCAACATGCAAAGACACACCTGGCCTCGGGGTAACGAACTGCTAATAATTACCCACCCTCTCCCGTGTTCCAGGCACTGCGCTGAGCCTGCTGTGGTGTTATTCATCTCATTTGATCTTTACAAAACCCTGGGAGCTAAATACTATTTTGAGTCCCATTTTACACATAGGGAAGCCAAGGCTCAGAGAAGTTAAGCAACTTGCTTACTGT